AAAAAAAAAAAAAAAAAAAAAAAAAAAAAGAAAAAGAAAAGAAAAGAAAAAATATATTGTCCATACTGTAAATAAGTGTATGCTTATTTATTTGGGGGGAAAACTATACATAAAGGACGTTTGTCCTAGAGCTCTCTCCCAGGCCACCTTGTTACTCATTGGACACGGAGAGGCAGTCATTGTGAGGTCTACTGGATGAGGCCCATAGTTGAGACTTGTAGACATTTATTTATACTGTGTCATGTTTTATAATTTATACATAAAATGTCTGGTTGACTGTACACCTTGTTTTTGAAGAAATTTATTCGTGAAAGGAAGAGCAGTTGTTATTTATTGTGAGGTCTCTTGCTTGTAAAGTAAAAGCTTTTTTTTTTTTCCTTGTAAACCATTTAAGTCCATTCCTTACTATTCACTCACTCATCTGTCTCCCTTCATCTCACTGTTGTTAGACTCTTTTCCACTTTAACAAACTTGCATGTCAGTTTCTGTCATGTTTTTTATTTATTGGATTCTCTGCTGCCTGTTCTGTACATACATGATCCCTCGGGTTTTGTTTACAAGGAATCTTGACTGACCAAAAGGCATTATAACTGACTCAAATAGAAGGTACAGAGGATACATCTTTGAGGAAACTCCTAGTTCAGTTCTCTTGTCATGATTTGGGAGAGAAGGGGTGATAGAAATGTTAGAATTCTAATAATGTACTTTTAAGATGTTACAAATCCAAAGAAATTGATATGGGTATCCGGAGACTGAAGGAAGGGAATGCTATACATTCAACCTTTTGTTAGGTGTTTCCTGTAAGCTACTCTGCTGTACCTTTTAAATTAGTTCCTTTTCAAACAACGTGTCGCTAAAAGTTATATCAAAGCTTTATCAGTTCAAGTTTCTTGCTTTTCATAATACTTTTTTCTGATGCAATTTTATATTTTCAAACATGGCAAGTTAAATATAAATTCATTTAAATATATAGTTTTGTACTTTTCTACCATGTAAATGTGCAATGTATATAAAAGTTATAATGTGTATTTGTAAATAAATGATGAGTGAAAAAATAAAAAAATTTTAAAAAGCCAATGGTCTCAATTGTTGATGTTAGAGAAGTCGTTTGGGCTTTTGAGTTAAAGTGCATATGATATATTTGCTAAGAAATAGAGTGAGCCAGGACAGTAGAAGCTCCAAAGCAAGGTAAATTGCAAATCACCTCAGTGGAGTCTGACACATAAAGGGATCTGAGGTCCAGCAACCCGTTGACTAGAGTGACTACATACCTAAAAGCACCATCATCTTGCCTGTCCATTTATATGGTCTTCTCCATAGCAGGGGAACCCTTTCTTTATCTTCCTTCATCTAAATAAAATGGGTCATAGATCTTTAAAAAACAAAGTGCATCCCAAGGAAAAATGAAAATAGCCTAATATTTGACAAGCACATTCTAGAAATCAGAATATCAACGACAGAACTAGGCATTAGTGTTGGAGTTCTTGGGACTCGGGGTGAGGATGAGGCAGAGGTGGATTTCCACAACCACATGCATGGTTCATCAGGATTGATGACACTCAACCGTGTGTCAATATTTCGCAGGTTACTTTAAGACAGGCAAGTCCCACTATTAGAGCCTAAGATTCCATACTGGCATCAATTGGTGGTCCTTACACATAATACATAACAAGGTAATACAATTTTTCAATCCATTGAGTGCTAATTCATTGCCTAAGTATATTAAAAATATCAAAGGAATGCAAGATGCAAAGAAGTGAGGACTGGGTCTGTGGGAGGGAAAGAGCAAAGAACAGTCAATATTGCCAACATTGCTCAACAAGTAGATAACGATCTTTCTTTCAAAAACCATGACCCAAGATCCTTTTAAGTTTGGATCTTTTAGGGTGCCTGGGTGGCTCAATCTGTTAAGCGTCCAACTTCGGCTCAGGTCATGATCTCCCAGCTTGTGGTTTCGAGCCCTGTGTTGGGCTCTGTGCTGACAACTTGGAGCCCGGAGCCAACTTTGGATTCTGTGTTTCCGTCTCTCTCTACCCCTACCCTGCTTGTGCTCTGTCTCTCTCTCAAAAATAAATAAAAATTAAAAACAAAATTTTTTTTAAATGTCCCTTTTGTGAAAAACCTCCTTAATATAACTATTAACAATGATTATAGGAGACTCTTGGCTCTCAACTGTGGTCACCAAATTTGGTGGAGGCGGAAGGGCCTTTTGGGTAGGCAGTTTATATAATGACTGGGAACCTGTAGGGTTTGTTAGCCTTCAGCCCCAGTTTCCCAGGGAAAGGTGAAAGGGAGGTGCAGAAGACCAACAGGCTGCCATTAACCCCAGCGAAGACAGGGTCATAACTTCTCCAGTGCCCAGAAGCTACTGGCATGCCACTGGGGATGGGCTTTTGGGAAAGGAAAGAGCCAGCAGATACAGTTTCACAGCCCTTCCTGGAGTTGATTTGTTACTTTGTCCTGGGATACTACAGACGCTTTAAAGCTGCCATTGATGATCAGAGTAAAAATGTCAGATTTAACAGGCACCAATGTGTGTCTTAGCAAGGGGGAGTGATAAAGTCAACAGCTTGCCTTTTAAACAATATCCTGATTATTTAAAATTTATATTTTATATTTGTTAGCATCAATCATTCCTTTCAGACACTAGACAGTATCACATTTTCCTTCTTGGAGTTTCCTGTTTTTCAGTAATGCTGTATTAAACTAATTAGTACCAAAAAAATAGAAGTCTCTTCTAAACTTAAAATTAGATCAATATCATTAAGCTATTGTTAGAATTTCAACTATGATTCAAAATGTCTAAAAAAATCTAATTTTCTTTAGCTTAGGCATACAATATAATAGAAACAGTTGCTGGTAGCTAGTTAACTCATTAAAACTAGTTTTAATTAGTATGACTACATCCTAATCATCATTAGGGATTCTAAAATATCAAGTAATAGCAAAAAAAATCTATCAGAAGTCTAATTTTCATCAGCTGTCATCCTAAATTAAGATTTTTATATGCTGTGTGGAGATGGTTTCTAGAATATGATAAAAATAAGATCTGGCATAATTAGAGTTATTCTCAAATATGACAGCTAAATGCAGTAACTGACCTTGGACTAGATCCTGTACCCAAGGAGGAAAATGCTATAGATAATGTTAATGGGCCAATTGACAAATTGGAATACTGTTCATACATTAAAGTATTGAATCAATGTTGAATTTACTAAAATTTATTACTATAATGTAGTCACAAAAGAGATTATCCCTATTCGCGGGAAATACACATCAAGGTATTAAGGAGAAAGGGCCACAAAGTATGTAACTAACCCTTAAATGATTTAAAAGGAAAAAAAATAACTTTTTAGTTTTTTCCCCATATGTATTCAGAGAAAGCACACAAATGGAAAGAATTAGAGTAAAATGTAAACAGTAAAGAGAATTTGAGTAAAAGGTATATGGTATTTTTAATGCTATCTTTATTTTTGCAACTTTTCTGTAAGTTTGAACTTATATGCAAATAAAAAGTTTAAAAATCTAAAATCATTCTCAAGAAGGAGAGGTGCGTAGTACATTGCTTCTCTCATTCTCTAGGAAAGCAAATGACAGCTCAGAGTCATTTAAAAAATCATTTGTATGAACAAAAGTCTCTGGAAAATAATTCCAGTGACTTTACCAAGGCTACCTGAAGAATCAAAATTGGCAATGAGAGAGTTCCTGGCACCTAAACCATACCCAAACTGAGAAACAGCCTTTTCTTTTCTGTAATGATCTTAAAATTTAGAGTCATTAGTACCTTTGCTAAAACACCGCAAACACTCTAAGCCCTGGTTTTCTCCACTGCTTGCTAGCTGTTATTTAGACAAGTAATTTAATCTTTCTGTGCCTCAGTTTCCCCATGTATGTAGTCAGGATAATTAAAGTGTCTCCCTCATAACAATGCTGTGAGGCTTAAATGAGATACGATGTGTAAAGTGCTTAGATGGGTGTCTGACACATTAAAAAGTCAGTCAATCAGCGTTCTCTAAGATTATAATAATTCTTACTAATTAAAGAAAAGCAAAGATGGAACTGTGGCTCATCAACCAAACTCTATCTTAAAAATGCAATGATGGGGCGCCTGGGTGGCGCAGTCGGTTGAGCGTCCGACTTCAGCCAGGTCACGATCTCGCAGTCCCTGAGTTCGAGCCCCGCGTCGGGCTCTGGGCTGATGGCTCAGAGCCTGGAGCCTGTTTCCGATTCTGTGTCTCCCTCTCTCTCTGCCCCTCCCCCGTTCATGCTCTGTCTCTCTCTGTCCCAAAAATAAATAAACGTTGAAAAAAAAAAACTAAAAAAAAAAATGCAATGAATGAGGAATAGCACTAATCGAGACCAGAAGCACAATTGTGAACAGTTTTTAAATTAAAGGTAAATAGGGGCTCCTGGGTGGCTCAGTCAGTTGGGCGTCTGACTTTAGCTCAGGTCATGATCTCACGGTTTGTGAGTTTGAGCCCTGTGTCAGGCTCTGTGCACAGCTTGGAGCCTGCTTTGGATTCTGTGTCTCAGTCTCTCTCTGCCCCTCCCCCACTTATGCTCTGTCACTGTCTCTCAAAAATAAATAAATGTAAAATAAACCTTTTAAAGGTAAATATAATTGTAAAGTACTTCAGCCATGTTAATATTTAACAAAATTCACAAAGTTCTAGGTGGTGTAGAAAGAGTATACAGTTGAAAATAGCAAGTTTAAATACACTATTTCCTATAGAAATTTTTAAAGATTCACTAATCCACCAATATTTCCAAAGCCACAAAATATGTATATCTTTTGTCCTTTTGCTCACACACCCAATTTAATCCCAGGTAGTAAACTAAATTAAATCAATCTTCTTTCA